CACAAGACACCAGGAATTGATGGTCTTCAAGGGAGTTTCTATCGCACATTTTGACCGACAATTGGCGAGGACGTTATTGATCTCTGCCTTGATATCCTTACTGGCTGCACCTCTCCAGCAGCTGTGAATCAAACAGTCATTGCTCTCATTCTGAAAGTCACTGATCCAACTGGGTTTCGACACTTTGTCTCATCTCATTATGTATGATCCTTTATAAGATTGTGGCTAAGGTACTTGTTAATCATCTTCGCCTGTTGTTGAGGAATTGTGTAGATGGCAATCAAGCAACATTCTTTTCGGGACGAATGATTTCAGATAAAGTCCTTATTGCGCATGAGATGTTTCATTATTTAAAATCAGAATATCATGAAGGTAATTGAGGTGCAGCTTTGAAACTAGATATGGAAAAAGCTTATGATCGGGTAGAATGATCATATCTCTGCACGGTGCTTCTTCGTCTTGGCTTTGATTCTGCGTTGGTGTCTTTGATTATGTGGTGTATCTGTCTCTTATTGAGTCCGGCTTAACGGTGCACTCACGGATATTGTCTTTCTGGAACGATGCTTGTGACAAGGTAATCCTTTATCACCTCTTCTTTTTGTTTTGTGCGCTCAAGGTTTATCTTCTATGCTTCATTGGGCACAATCATAACATTATATGCGACGTTTGCAGGTCTATCGGAACAGTCCTTGTATCACTCATTTGTTCTTTACCGATGATTGTCTACTTAGTTTTCTCCGATGTGGGCTTTATTTTCTTTGCTGATTTGCATACATTTCTTGAATTTTGCTTAACCAACATCTGAAAATAAAGGAATGAGTCCGAATTCATGACATATGCATATGCCAGATTGTAAGGAACATTTGAGTTGTGGGAGGATATTTATGAAGACATAGAACAAAATGAAATAATCTCGCTATATTGAACCATCATTCAATATTTACTCTTCTATCACATACAGTAGTATGCCTCTTATAACGACACATAAATTTTCATCCTTTAATGCTATCTTACGTGCAAACAACCTTTTATTTGTAGACTGAACTAAGCTAGCTTATTTTATCGAAGTGTGAATTCATTTTGAATCCTCATGACATTGCAGTCATCAGAACAAGATTTATTGGGAAGTTTCACATTCTTAAGAAAAGTCTAATCTTCTATTCAGAAAATAAAAAATAGGTAAGGTTTAATCTTCTGTGTTTTAAATATCTAAACTTCCATTGGACAGTATGCTTCTGACTTTCATCAATCACAAGGAATTGCAGCCAATAAGGGATCAAAACACACCTCAGATGCAACATAGACCACGTTGTCAGTTGCCCTCCAATACCTAGCAGGGCGAAGTCCAATCCGATCAAGGCATGCCCCAACGGTTTTTCCATCACTGAGCCACACAAATTAAAATAGAAAGTATCAGAAAATGGAATAAAACTGGGGGGAGGGAAGTGAGATGAAAGTGAAAATAAGTAACATAAGTACATAACAATGTACAAGGAATTGTGAGCCAAAGGTTTAGCCCAAACTGTATAGTCGAATTTAACTACATGCTGCCATCAAAAACACTATATTTTTCCTGACCATAAAATAGGAACTCTAATTCCTATTTATTTATTTATCATTTTTCTTGTTTTACTGGATAGACACCAAAAGAGAAGTGCATTACAGATCAACAGCAAATCTACTTAACATGCTAGATCATAGTATCGTTAGAGTTAATCACAACCCTTAGCACAGAGGTCAAATTGGCCAGTCTTTAAACCTGAGGTATTTATTTTTCAATTAAAAAAGAAAAGGACATCTACAGTCATCACTCAATTCTAAATATATCTTCCATTCCATCAAAGGAATACACAGTTACTGATCCACCAGCTATCAAGTGTAATCACATAGATACAACTCACTGATTGTTAACAGCAGCAACAGAAAACATATGCATAAATGCCTATGTATGTATCCATGCCTTTTCACCAAAATCATGCATTTCATAAAATATGCTAGTGAGACAAGACCAAACTGCTTTGTTTTAGTTAATTTAAAAGATTGGAAGTCACCATCATCACCAAGAGACATTGTCAATAAAACTAGAAGTCCCCTAAAAGGGTATACAAGTCCCTCGAAGCACTACCTAAATAGGAGTAAAGCAGGTCATACCAGGCTTCCATCTGTCCTTGTAATAGTCATAAAAGTCTACAACCAAAGGAGAAACAATAAACTAATTATTGTCTGCATGAAAAATAATTAGTGTTTGAAATTTAAATTAGCTAGAGAAAGAAAGAAAATAAAGACATTGATCCTACATTAAAGAGAGTAGCAAAGGACTACAAGAGCAACTGTTGAACTGCAGCGAGAAGACACTAATTTAATAAAATATAAATTCAATCAACATTATGTTCTGTGAATCAAAATTTAAAGAATCATCTAAAAACAAGCAATCTACTTAGAAACTAAAAATGTCTGGCTTTACAATTCCACGTCCCATTCAGCTTGCAAACCATAAAATGTAGCCTTCAATTGGATATTAACACAAAAGGGAACAATAATTTTCTTAATTTATCCATGGCGAATTCCACATCAAAGTGCATCTCTAAAGCAGTTTTGATCGTATCGCTCCACTTCAATATAATCCTCAGTAATTGATCAAATGGTAGATCAAGCATTTCCGTCATTGAAGCACAAAAGAGAATGAAAGTTCTTTCATCAACATCAGGATGCATTCTACTTCTCTTTGTAACATTGCCATACTTATTAATGATTTTCTGGACAATGCTCTGCAAAGATTTTGGAACATTATATCCTTCAACTTTCATACTTATTAATGATGAATTCAGACGCCTAAAAGATGACTTACAGTATCGTTTATTCCGCATGGAGGTTTACTGGCATCAACGGTCAAGGGTGCAATGGCTCGCCAATGGGGATGCAAATTAAGTTTTTCATGGCCGCTCCTCTAGTCGGAAGAAACACAATACAATTAGAGGCTTGTATACTTCTATGGGTACTTGGGTTTCTGATGTTGAAGATCTTCAGCATGAGGCCATTGCGTTCTTTGGTTCTTTATTTACTACATCACAGCCTCCTGAGGAGTTTGGTATTTTTGATGCAATACAGGTTGTGATCACCCCTCCATAAATCCTTCTCTGTTGGCAGATTATTCAAGGTTGGAGGTTTATATGCTTTTCTTCATACCAATCCGCACAAGACACCAGGAATTGATGGTCTTCAAGGGAGTTTCTATCGCACATTTTGACCGACAATTGGCGAGGACGTTATTGAGCTCTGCCTTGATATCCTTACTGGCTGCACCTCTCCAGCAGCCGTGAATCAAACAGTCATTGCTATCATTCTGAAAGTCACTGATCCAACTGGGTTTCGACACTTTTGTCTCATCTCATTATGTACAATCCTTTATTTCTATGATTCCTGCTCAAATTAAGTCAGTTCATTTTGAGCTGTGGTAACTCTTTTTTTAAATTTAGCAGTTAATCGTTGTACATTCATGGAGTGTGTCTGCCAGCAATTGCTTCTTTCCGGCCTAGGTAATACTGTATAGGAATGGGGGTACGGATCCTGCCTATGGAGCTGTCTTTGCTACAATTTTGGTGATGTTGACTAACATCCATTAGCCAGTAGGGAAGAGAAATTTCCGTCCAAGATCATGGAAGTCAAGGGTTCAAGAACAAAAGCAATTTTAGAGACTTTAGAAAGCATGGGAATCTTGAAAATACACTCATGGAAACCCAACTTCTTGAAGAAGATTATTCAACTTAGAGAAACCGGAGAACTGCCTTAAGAAGTATCTATACATGTTGCTATCGAAATCGAGACAGAAGAATATGTCTAGTAAATTAGCAGATCCTCTCTGCCACTTGTTTCCTAGTCATATTCACTCTTCTTGATTTGATAGGAACATTGGATGTTTCTGCACCATGAGTGGATACGACCTTCCTTTGTTCTTCTTCCCCAAGAACTTCTGAGTTTGATAAGATGAACTTTTGTTTGAGCAATCTTGGAAACCAGTTCCGAGAGGTTGTATATAGGTTCTTCTTGGATCCTACAGTTGCTACAGCTGAAGGCACTATTCTTTTCGCCTTTTACTAAAGAATACCGTATGCTCGCTGCAGATAGTGGCATAGGCTATTTTCGGAGGGCTCTTCTTTTGAAACTGCCCTAAAATTGAATTCTAACGCATTTGGTTTGCACTATTTGGTTTCCACAATTTGACTGGAAATGGGGATTCTGAATTTGGATGGTGTTAATAGTCATATTAAGAGTGTTCCTACTAACTAGTGAAGTTCCTATGACAATATCCACACCAAAGAGTAAATGTATAAAATGGGTAACCAAAGAAAACAGGGCTACTGGAATTCTAGATAACTTTGAAGAAGGTGAAAATATGCACAACATGGGCTGAGGGAGTTTGTCCGCAAGAGACCGCCTCAGATTATGCCATCTGTTAACAACTTCTTCTCTGCTGGCCCAAATTAAAGCAATTGCTGAATTCTTCATACTTTGTAGGTTGAATAATGTGTTTTGGCTGCCTATGGAATTTATTCAATTGGAGAGTTGGAGTTGGATTGTTTTACTTTTTACATTTTAAAGGACAGATACTTGACAATTGTATTCTTGGCAGGCAAGTTTATTGAATATTGTTCTTGGGTAATAAAATTATCAGTGGATTTGAATATGTACTTACATACGAACATGTACGTCGGAGCAATGAAACTGAGAAAATTGCAAAACTGTCATACAACTAGAGATCATGTAAGCTGCTAGGAAAAACATGAACTGTAATGGATGCATCTATAGTTCTACATCTATCGAATTTAGAAATGTTTGTTGGAGTCAAATATAATGTCATCTTGGTCCATTTTCGTGGTTTATTGAAGTTTTCTTTATCTCAGGAAACAAGGTTTAGAGCAATAATCCGACATTGGCAAGACAAAGACGCCGTGAGCACTAGAACCAATATAAATAACCGAAAGTTAAGTAGGAAAAGCACGCAGCCAAGCAGTGAGGACATAGCGAACCATTCTTTCGCCTTTTACTAAAGAATACCGTGTGTTCGCAGCAGATAGTGGCAGGTCCTATTTTTGGAGGGCTCTTTCTTCGGAAAGTCCCCTGAAATTGAAGTTTAAGCTTTTGGTTTGCACAAAAAGAGTTGTCTTCGTCTTCAAGACACAGAATATCAGATTAGACGATAATCATCTTCCTTTGATGCCTATGTAAGCTCATAATCTGACGCATGCACATAGTATTAAATTAAATTGCAGCTGTAACACATTAACGTTTGCTTTTAGGAAATAAATTACGCGTGTCCGCAATTTAATACTATGCACATGTATTTATATATGATGCCACCCCGCAGTTTTACAACAAAGAATGGTAAGAAAAGCTCTATTTCACACATCTGACCTTGCAGTTGCACCAGTAAACTCTGCATACTATCTAGTTTTTTGTCTCAGTTATTTAATATTCGAAAGATGATTCTCCTCCAAAGACGATGAATTGGATAATTCAGTGACGAGAGTGGCACATTTGGACTGTGAATCCAAACTGCCTCCTCAAGCAAAGCCACAGTTGAGAGCTGGTCTTCATTAATCATTTCTTATAATGGAGACTGCCCCATACTTCCAGCACTGTCTCCTCGGTTGAGCTTATCAGATGAGAAAATCTTCGAAATCCTCGATCCCTAAGTTGCTAAGTTCATCTATGGCATCCTTCCAAGCGAGTTTTCCACCTTGAGCAGCCACAAGACTCCAGCATCTATACGACCCATTGAATCAACTTCAGACTTGCATAAGAAAGGTGCTGATGTTCATTCTTGGTGACAACGGCATCAATCTGTTTGTTTGACAAAAAAGTTTCAAGTTTTCCACCATCCAGTCGACCGTTTCATTCTCAACATTATCTTCGGATATGAGCATATGAACTCAAGATTTATCCCTCTCAATATCTCAAAACTTTCATTGAAGCCGTTTGCTGATGATGCATTTTGAAGGATGTTCTTCTGTGACCGAGGCTTGAAGGCCTCCAAAACCTTCCACAACCGACCGTGACCAACTCAACTGTATAATTCATTCCTCACACATGATATGCAAGCTGACACTTAAACTTTGACATCCTTTGTCCCTCTCAGCAAAAGGAATGGCATGCGCAGTGCTTATGTCCAGAATGGAATTACTGAAGCTTTTCCACTTGATGGGCGCTTCTGCTTGTTGTGTACCCAAAATATAGCTCTTAATGGAGAAAATCCGTTCCCATTTACCAGAGAACCATTTTCAACTGAACCTAAGAGTGTTCCGTTGTTGTGTACAATGGTTCCCTCTGTCTGTACACAGTCCACCTGAACACACTCCCAGTGCAAAGTACATGAAACGGCCATAGCACCATCAAGAGTTCTGTGAGAAGCTTTAAGGAGCAGATCATTTCCAATAAACTTCACTAAAGGTGTCCCCTTGATATCCTATAGGTATGAGTTGAGAAATCTAAGCTGAAGGACATTTACTGCTAAACTTTCTGCAGTATCACTAGGAACTTTCTCCATCAGTTTCCACCCAAAGTATATCATCCTTATTTCCCTGCGGTCTTTTATTTTTCCAACCACTGCAATCTTTTCACAAACTACCAATATACGTATAGAGAGAGACAAAAAAAAACTGTTCAACTAATGTATTGGATGTAAATTGTTCACAAACAACCCCTATTCTGACAACAATACTGTTGGAAGAGTGAATGGACACAGTAATTTATAATTCTCATGTTATTATTAACACGAACCAAAATATAAATACGATACAAAAACCAAAATATAAATACGATACAAAAACTAGATGCGGCTAGTTCACAAACACTACCCCGCTGTCTAAGACTTTGCTAACCTATCTCTCGTATATTTTTTTCACTTTCACTCTCGTACATCCATCCAAAACTAAAGCTACAACACATATTTATAGCCTTGGTTTCACCGTCTTTGTTTGCTGCAAATCCATGCCGTATTTATCTTAATTCTATGACTTATCTACTTAATTGATAAGCATGGTATAGATGCTGCCAACTCACCAAATTGGTGCTTCATGTAATTTTTGATTTGTTGCTAATCTCTTTTGTTGCTGCCACGTTCATCCTTGTTGATGCCTTGATCAAGTTTGCTTGTGCTGTCACATTTCTTAACACTAAATTTGCCGCCTCAAATAACTATTGTAAGTTCATCCACGATTCAAGCAGCTTAATCATCAACTTGTCAATTGAAAAGGTTGTTACTTAACACTTGTATCCATTCTTTTAATTTGCATAATTGCATGAAACTTCTGTCCATATAGCTGCTGCCATCATTTGCCAAGTGTTGCCGACACAAAAACATAGTTTGATTTCTAACAACACCTGGAGGAGGCACAACTATTAATGGGTTCCCATCAGTGGATGCCATATCTAACAAACACCTGGAGGAGGCACAACTATTAATGGGTTCCCATCAGTGGATGCCATAGCTAACTCAACAGAACTTCCTTCAGCTCAACGCACCTCCACAAGCCTGAAGACCAACCAAGAGAACTTTAAACTCACTTAAGCTAGCAGTTGTTTGCAAAGTTAAACTGAGTTGTGATGCTCCAGCAGTCCATTTCGATGATGTTTAATAGTATATTAAGCGTTTCTAGTATTTTCTATTATGCCTGGAAAGTTGATTTTCAAGTGATCTACTATTTCCCCCCCTTGAATAAAGGCATAAAAGGTTAGGAATCAGTACTAAAAAACTATGATGTGTTCATAAATGATGGTATGGATCAATTAGACTGAATTACGGATTTAAACGATCTTTGTTCCTCTTCAGGATATCGCAATCAAAGCTTCAGAGGCTAGTGACATTGTCGCAGACAAATTTTGTCTTCAGCAACTAGAAACTGATTTTTAAGTGATAAACTTTGCACTACAGCCGGGGTTCGATGCAAGCTGCTAGAAAAACATAAATGTACTGGATGCATCTTGAGTTTTACATATACAATAGTTTCAAAATGTTTTTCTTAATTTATTGAAGTTAGTCATTTTTTTCTTAGTTGGCCTGTCTAGCAGTAAAGCTCCAGAGCACTAATCCCATATAGACAATACACAGCGCCACGCATTCCAGAACAAGTATAAATAGCCGTGAATTATACTCATCAATCACGCAGCCATGCAGTGAGTACAAAGCGAACTATTCTTTCGCCTTTTACTAAAGAATACCGTGTGCTCGCCGCTCAAAGGCATACGCCAATTTTGGAGGGTTATTTCTTTGGAATAAACCCTAAAATTTGAGTCTGAAAGATTTTATTTTCATTGAGAACTGTTTTTTCTGCGATGTATTTTTTTTTTCTTCTGTTTGTGCACTGTTCCTGAATTTTGCTTAAACATCTCAAAATAAAGCAACGAGTCAGAATTCAGAACATTGAGTTTGAAAGGAACACTTTGAGTTGTGGGAAATGTTTATGATTCGACGAAGATATTGAGACTTATGTTCCCCAGACAAAATCTGGGTTTACCTTGGTCACATATTTCTATGATTCCTGCTCAAATTTAGTAAAGATCATTTCAAGCTACTGTTAGTGGTAAATCTCTTTTTTTAAATTTAGCAGTTTATAGTGGTACATTCATGGAGTGTCTGCTAGCAATCGGTTCTTCCGGCCTAGGTAATACAGTATAGGAATAGGGGTACGGATCCTGCCTATGGAGCTGTCTTTGTTACTATTTTGGTGATGTTGACAAACATCCAAGTAGGGAAGAGAAATTTCAGTCCAAGATCATGGAAGTCGAGGGTTCAAGAACAAAATCAATTTTAGAGACTTTAGAAAGCATGGGAGTCTTATAACTACACTCATGGAAACCCAACTCTTGAAGAATTATTCAAATTAGAAACGAGAGAAACTGGCAAATTAGCAGATCCATGCCACTTGTTTCCTAGTCATATTCACTCTTCTTGATTTTGATAGGAACATTGGATGTTTCTGCACCATGAGTGGATACGACCTTCCTTTGTTCTTCTTCCCCAAGACTACCGAGTTTGATAAGATGAAACTTTTGTTTGAGCAATCATGGAAACCAGCTCCGAGAGGTTGTATATAGGTTCTTGTTGGATCCTACAAGTTGCTACTGCTGAAGGCACTATTCTTTCGCCTTTTACTAAAGAATACCGTGCGCTCCTGCCGATAGTGGCATACGCCTATTTCCAGAGGGCTCTTCTTCTGAAAGTGCCCTGAAATTGAATTCTAAAGCTTTTGATTTGCACTATTTTGGTTTTCCACATTTTGACTGGAAATGGGGATTCTGAATTTTGGATGGTGTTTAATAGTCATATTAAGAGTGTTTCTACTATCCAGTGAAGTTCCTATGACATATCCACACCCAAAGAGTAATGTATAAAATGGTTGATAAAAGTGGCATATGCCTCGCTTTTAAGAGTTTCTTTTTTATAAATTTATATTCGATTCTATGTTGAAATTGTAGCTTCTATTTCCCCAGCCAAAATCTGGGTTTTAGCCTCATGCAGATTCTATTTTTTGTGTTCAAATCTAATACAAAGCAGGAAAAATTCCATGCTATTGCTCATGGTAAACTTCTCATTCAAATCAAGAAGTTTTTGGTTTTCACAATTTCCACCATACAAAAAATTAGCATTACGAAATTTTAAAATGCTTTCAAAGTATTATATATTTTGAGTTCACTGCAATGTCAAATTGGCCCCTATCTCTTTGATTTATTGAAGTTACAGTCTTTTTTTCCCCTTAGTTGGCCTGTTTAGCAATAAAGCTTCAGAGCAGTAATCCCACACAGACAATAGACAGCGCCACGCATTCCAGAACAAGTATAAATAGCCGTAAATAAGATATATCAAAGCACGCAGTCACGCGGTGAGCACATAGCGAATTATTCTTTCGCCTTTTACTAAAGAATACCGTGTGCTCGTTGCACAAAGTGGCATACGCTTATTTTTGGAGGGCTTATTCTATGGAATGAGCCTCAAAATCTTAGTTTAAAAATATTATCTAGGAAGTACCACCTGCTCGATTTGTTTTGGAACTAGAGTGGAGTTTCATTGTTTGTTAGAACTAATGAAGGGTTTTCATTAGGATGTATGTAATTCACTACT